GTAAAGAAGTATGTACAGACTTATCAAGTTTGTCAACGGGAAAGCCACGAACTCAAGCTTCGCTTGGGTTATTGAAGCCATTGCCCATTCCTGCTAGCCCGAGACAGAGTGTCTCCATGGACTTCATGGATACCCTCATGACCAGCAAGAGTGGCAAAAGGCACATATTCGTCATAATAGATAGGTTCACTAAGTACGCTAGACTAATTGGGTGCGTGACTTTGGACTGCCCACAACCATTGTCAGTGACAGAGGTGTAAAATTCTCAAGTGAAATGTGGAAGAAGGCTGCTGAGCAGATGGGCAGTCAACTCCAAATGACTTCGGGGAATCATCCCGAAGCAAACGTCCAAGCCAAAAAGATGAACCGTGTGGTGCAGCAACTGTTGAGGCATTACATCAAGCCCAACCACGATGACTGGGATGAGAAACTTCCTCTCATCGCCAGCCTGTACAATAACGTTGTGCACAACAACACCGTCGTCAGTCCGAATCTGTTCCAAAGCCCGCAGGTAGGGGAAGCCCGCCTGAACCTATGAGGGAGTACCGGGTCAACTTCATGCACCATACAGATCCGAAAGAAGATCGTTGGTTCACAAGAGAGGAACTTGTCAAGACAACACCTTAGATTGTGGTAGAATTTGAACGAAGACTAAAGGGGAAAGCGTAGAAGCATCTCAGCGGACTTTCGAAGCTAAGGGGGATGGAATGTGAGGAATGAACCGTCACGGGGCCCCTTATCAGGCATACAAATGTTCTGGGCTGCAGCCTCTATCAAGCTTGTGCCCATCGTAAATGAAGGCGGGCCTGAATATCCACGAGAGGCTAAGCCTTGTTTTTGACATTTTTCCATACGTGGGGATTCAGACAGTTGCAGCACGCCAATTGGTTACAGAGCAACCTAAGCCTCTAGGCTCTTTTCACAAGCAAGGGCTGCATTGTACAGTTGAGCTCAGGGCTCAAGTGGTTGTGCCCTGGCCACACTCTGTGTGAGGCCAACACATCACGGACTGGTCACAGGCCAATGAGAGAGCAGCCTTGTTGTAACACATGAGCTGGGAGTCAATGAGAATGATCTGAACACTTGGAGGCTGGGTGGCTGTCTGAACGTGCCTAACTGCACAAGGCCCATGCCAATATCTGAAACTAGGCCTGGGCACAACAACTGGAGGCCAGAGGCCAGCTACTGGGCCCCCCACACGGCTGGCCAGCTCAGCCAGCAGCGGGCACACTTTCCATAAAGAAAAGTGTGTGGCCCAGTGGGGGGGCATTCTGGCCTATGCAGGTATTGCGGCCACACTACTGCATTGTCGTGCAAAGTTGCGCTATGCAGGCAGGCTGGGGCGCGCGCGAAGAAGTAGCAATCTGCGCTGCTGCTGCTGACGTACCACTTGGCAAAATACCATAAAGAGGGATATAAGGGTTTGTCATCGTTGGTGAGGCTACTAGCGATAGAACCGCCGCCTGTGGCCGAATACTGGGCCCGCCAGGTATGGAGGGGTATGGTCCTCGTCTTCCCTGCATGGTGTTCAGTTTCTCGTGAAGGGTATTTTGGATCCAGTTTGCTGTCCATGTATGAGTACATGCTCAGCAAGCCCTCCTTGAGATTTTACTCGTGTCGTCAAGGGTCGAGTCATCAAACCCTTCTATTGCAGCTTTGTCTGCCCTTCTGTTCTCTAACCTGGGTTTTCTATTTCTAATTTATGTCTCTCTTTCTGTAGCTTCTCTAGGTTCCTTCTCTAACTGTAAGTGGATCAACTCCACTTGTTGGAGTTCGATTGCCTCTCTAGTGTGTGAAGGTGGTTGGCTGTATTGCGAGCCTACCATCTGACTAGAAGAAATGTTTGCACTCATCCCGCTAGATGTAGCCTGCGAACTGGTCGTCATGCCTAGTGTCTACTGACCCTGAGATGTAGCAGCAGAGGTAGCCATAGGTCTAGCAGTTGCTGCTGCCGCTTCTAGTACTTGCTACGCTGCTACTGCTGCTTCCCTAGCCCTTTGCAAACGGTCAACAGTTGCCTCCCGTCTTATACGTCTCTCACCCTCAGGTGGTAAGGCTTGATGCACGATCGGTATCCTAAGCGACGTTAATCGTGTCACCCTCCTTCCTATCTGCACTGGTGCCCTCCTTCCTATCTGCACTGGTGCCCTCTCTGGGGCGTACCACAACATGTGTCTGGCCAATTTGAACAAATAAAAATAAATAATTATTCAGCAAGTCACCTAGTCTATCGATCAAGTGGTGTCAACAACATTTACACAGACTGAGCAAACGATCTATTCCTATTTCGATTAGTTCTTTTACATCAGCAACCAATTAGAACTGGCTATGGTAGACTACTACAGTTCTAGTCTGATGTTGTCTGTCAGGTGTTAGCAGTCTGTCACCTCAACTAATCAAAAATAAAAATACATCACTTGCGCAAATATATGCATAAGTGTATTAAATGAGAATAAAATGTGTTTGTGTATGAGCCGTAATTGAATATGATGGGAGCTGGAAGTTTTGGAACTGGTTGGTATACCACCACAACTATGTGACCCCCTAGGCCGCGGCCGACTTTTTCCGCGGCCTCACCACGCGCAGGCGAAGCCACGTGCCCAAAATCGGGGTGCGTGCATCGCCTGCGCATGGCGTCCCCTACCATAATCAACTAAAGAAAAAAAAAAAAGTTAAATTTTGGGGGGATCTTTTTCAGGTGGGAAAAAAAAGAAAGCCAACAAAGATCAGTCACGAAAAAAATGAAAAAAAAAATTCCTGCTTTTGTTTTATTTATTTTTATTTTTTTATTTTTAACCGATTTTCGTTTTTCATTTTTTATAAATCCTAAATGAAGTCAAATTCAAAACAAAAATATATGGGGTTGTAGGGTTTTCAAAACCCTACAACCACATATATATACACAGCCCCTCGTTTGTTGTCCTCTTCTCCCTCTCTGCCTACGGTTTACCGGGCAGTTCTATTTGACGATATATATATATATATATCGTCACAAACAGA